TGTGTGTGTGTGGAGGTATGTATGCACACATGCCCTGAGGTGTAGCAAAGCCCCCAGACACTGACAGATATTTGTTTTGGTGAATACTCTTTACCCTGGCAATATGTTTATGCCCTGGCAGCAGTAAACACACACACACACACCCTACACACTCACACACTCACACAAGCAGAATTAAATCATACACTGGCATGGAGTCACACTTTACCCTGGCACGATGTCATTGCCTTTCAGTGCTGTGACTCATGCCAATGCTCTAATGGATGAATCCTGCAGCAGTCTGAACCAGCATGTGTGTGTTTCAGCACGTTACCCTGTGTGTGTGTGGGTGAATGTGTGTGTGTGTATTTTCAAGGTGTTGTGTAAACATTGGAATTATGTGTCACAGCTGGCCAGATGACTTGCCCCGGTTTCATCTCGAATTTTTGTGCGTCTCTCTGGGAGGATGATGCTGCCACATTTGCATGAGAAAGGTTGTCAGACTAACACCTTTTCTTGTTTCTCTCCCGCTCTCCTTCCCCACCTCCCGCCTCCTCCCCCTCTCTGTCTTTTTCTTGTGTCTACAGCTCTGATAGCCATAGGCCAGTACAGCAGTACTATAGAGACTGTGGATGCAGGCTGGTGTAAGGACATCACAGACCAGGGAGCCACACAGATCGCTCAGAGCAGCAAGTCCCTCCGCTACCTGGGCCTCATGAGATGTGACAAGGTAACAAGCCTCTACCCATAATGTCTGCTGCTGTCCAGTTTCCGTGGTTTGCTCTCAAAAGATACAACTGAAGATGTTTTTACATACAGCAAATCAGATTTTTTGACTACAGAACATTAGCATAGATGGACAACTGTGTACCTTAAGAGTTAAAACAATTATTTGATTTGTTGAATGACAGGAAACTAATCTGAAAGAAGTATAACAAGTATTTATTTATTGGTTTTTTTTGTTTTGGCACAAATTCCAAATGATCTAATATTGATAATTTTTAGTTTGGAAGATGTCACCTTGGACTCTTGCAATGCGTGTTACACACGTGCACATTTTCTGACATTTTACAGACTACACGATGAAGAAAAAACATGTCAGAAATTAGTTTCAGCCTACTTTCTTTAATACAGTTGTAACCCCCTCCTTTTGGTGCTTTAATGAATGTCTAATTGCACATCTGTTGCCAATGTCATTGTAGAACTCGGCAATAATACAATATTTTTGTTACCAGAAAAATGTTTTATTAAAAATACAGGTAAAATGATTGTAATAATACAAAATTCAAAAATCAAATATTGCTCCTGTTCAATGATGTTCAACAATGTCCATATTTGCCAATACAACCCCATACTTTAAGGGGTTGTTACCTTGCTATAAATGATGTATAAAAATGTCTAATAGTTTATAAATATTGCCCAACTCTAGTGCACACGCTTAAACACAGAAACATAATCAAACACATACACATGAACCCTCAAAAGACCCAGGTTAGGGCAACTGGCCAAATAAAGAGCATCCAGAGGAGACCATGTGGAGTAGCTAAGCCACTGCCGCCTGTGCCCAGTATGTCTGTGTCATGCATCTTTGAGTCAGCTTGTTGGGTGATAACAGAAGTAAAGTGACATAATGACCCCTCTCAAACCAACTTTGAGATGCCTCTGGGTCTGAGGGACCATCTTTCCAAAGTCACCCTTAAACTCTCATCTGGCCTCTTACCTGTCCAATCGCTAACCTGATGGTAGCACATTTGGTTGTAGTGCCATGGTAACAACTCCACCCACCTCTCCAATTGGTCCAGCGGAGCTCCTACCACACAGATGCATCCACTTAGTGTGGGATCACTCAGTCTGACATGAGTGGGATGAGGGCAGACAAGGAAGGGAAAGCGAACAGCTGGCTTAACCTAGAAACTTTAGCCTGTACTGATATTGTACAGCCTTGTGTCTTGTACCGTAGCCTGGTACACAAGACAGGCCATAATCCCAATGCTGGTGGGCCTCCATATGGTGAGTTTAACGGTATGTCTTAATGAGCCTTTTGTTTTCAGGTTGAGGCTAGATTTTACATTTGGGTTTTGGACTGAAGAAATTTAAAAGCCTCTCCTGAGCAGTAAAAAGTGCGAGCAGAAGTTGGCAGGGAAGCAAAGAAGGGAGGAGAGATTTTGACTTATAGTCAAGGCCTTTCACCGGGTTGGGAACTCATCATTTTTATTTCTTCATTATAAAATCAGTGATATCTGCGTGTCGCGGCCTCGAGGTTGACCTTATGGATTTCTCTGATAAAAATGCCTACTCGGAGATTGTTAAGTGCGACAAGAACATCGGTGTATCATATTTATCTATTTATATTGTAATAAAATTAAAACATACGAGGGTCTGACAGTGACCCCATATGTAAGGTCTCAGTGATAAAGCGGTGTACTCATTTCACATTATTGCGGACATGAATGTGTATCTATCATATTTATCTCGGAGTAATAAAGAGTAACTGCATTACATAGAAGGTGATCACTTAGATTCCATTTTCATTTAGTTCCCCCCTTGCTTCGCCGACTCAGTGACCCAACAATCGATATCTACAGCCATGCTAATAAAAATCTGTTCTGGAATGACCTACATCTTTACTGGAATAACAATTTTTCTTAGTTTCACTCCACCGTATGCTTTCATGCTCCTGCCTTCTCAATGAACAGATTCACCCATCCCTCTGCTCTTATTTATCTATCCACCTCTCTCCTTAGATGTGATATTCATACTCATAATTTAGCCTGGAGGATGGAAAGATAAATAATTATTCTCCCTCTGCTCTGAAGGGGGAATTTGGGGATGACACAGCTAAATAAAGCAGTAATTGGTGCTATTAGAGTTGTAATGGAGTGTAAATCGGGCAGAGAGAAGATTTTGACAGTTTCCAAGGTCAAGTACATTACCAGCTATGAATCACAAAATTAATTCACTGCATGCTTGCCCCCTTTCACCCATTTCTCTATCTTCTCTCTTTCGCGCCCTAAAATTATGTTTAGCATTGCAAATAAGCCTGGTGTACTGGTGAGGATTGGTGTGTGGGAAAAAAACCAGCCCACGGCAGCTACTTTCTTTGTTGTTGTTGATGTTGTTTTTCATTATGTTAGGTGAGAAAGGGAGTTACAGTAGATAAGGTCAGGTTTCAGGAGGAGACAGAGAGAAGAATAGTGGTAATACGAAGTTGGCTCAGAGGGAAACGAATAAACAGAAATAGGTTGTTATTACCGTGGTCACAGTGAAAATGAGAGCTACAGAGCAAGTTAAAGAGGTAAAAAGGTGAGAGGCAGAGACAGACCAGGGGAATTGCGGTCATCTACAAGTCAGCCCACGGGGCAGCAGTGACCATGCTCTGCCTTCTCCTCAACTCCTACTCTCCTGTCTCCCCCTCCCCTCCATCCCTCAAACCACCGGCCCCTCCTGCTCTCTTCTCAAGATTCTTCAATCGCCTCAACTAAAGATCAGTGCTTTTGTTGTTCTGTCTGACATTTAATTTAAGTTTTAACATGTTTTACATTTAGGCATTTACTGTAGCTGACAGTCCTCTCCAAGACAGCTTGCAGTGTGGGGCTAGTTGATATTCTATTAAGGTCACGTTGACAGGGTCATTATTGTTTGTTGTCTGATTTGAGCTTATGACTTTTCTGCTGTGGAACTGATTCAATCCTTTGGCCACACTGCTGCTTCACTTTGCTTGAGGGAGTCAAGTGACTTCTAAAAAAAATCTGATCAAGTTAGACACTACATTTTGTCAAAAAATATAGCTTCACGGTAAGTTTTGCACCAGTTATAAGCGCTTTGACCACTGCTTGGTGAAAAATTAGAAATAGGTTTCACAGTGGTCATAATCTGCATTCTTAAATAAATCTAATAATAATCTGTCTCCTAAATAAATCAAATCAATATTTTAAAGTACTTTGCAAAATTGTTTTTAGTATAGGCAGTGCATTCAATTTGGTCGTGATTTTTTCTGGTTTGCATTTGACATTTCAGCCTCTAGCAGTGTTGTATCATGCTTTATTTGTGTATCACAGCAGTAAAATCCGGAGGCATGTCCAATTCAATCTCGGAGCAAACTAATCTCATCTCAGCATTTAATGCAGTTCTGGGAAAATGCAGAAGCTTGGGGATAACTCTCAATTCCACAAGGTTCCCACATAATGAAAGTCTTGTGCAAATTACTTAACTTTAGATTTCTCTCAGCCACAGCTTCTCTTCTTTATGTTGACAAATCCATTTGAATTTTTTTCCTCATGCCTCATTTTATTAAATTCTCCATTGTTTAAAATAAGGATGTAGTTGCGCTTTTCCGTGCATCCATTTGTCTTTTGTGTAGTGTTGACGGCATGAATGACCAGCATTTAAGGTCAACAGTACGTCTTCTTCATTGAAGTACATATTTCTTCTGTGCTTTTAGGTAGGATACTTGCTATGACAAAACATAAGATAAGAGAAGGAGGTGATTCCAGGCTACTTTGGAATACTTTTCTCTGTATTTGACTGAGCTTGATATATTTTAATTGGTCTAACACTCTTAGCTTGACCTGTAACAACTCCATTCAAATAGCTCAACCCCAGGATCTACACACTTGAGGAACCATCTTAATATTTACCCATCAACCAACTACTCTCTAAGCCAACGTACTGTAGCTAAGGGGGTAATTGACAGTGGCCCCAACGTGAAATCATTTTGCTTTGCCTACCAACCATAAATGTTTGCATTGAGAAAACAAATTGTTATATACAATTACACACAGTGGTCTCCTTTGGAAAGTAGTTATTTTTCATGAGAGCTGTGTTGACAGTGTTTTGGACATATTGCAAATACTCCAAAGTTAATATTTCCCTTACAAGGACTATGCTTGGGCTTCATTCAGGATGTGTATGTTGCAGGAATTTAGTACAAATAACTGCAACACAGGTTTAGAAAAAAAAATAGGCAAGGATTGGAGGTGACAATATCGCAGTAACAAATAGACCTCCTCTTTAGCTTTAGCCTGTCTGTCTTATAGATGTTCAGGTAACCTCTGCAGCCTACATTTGGCTATTTAAAATAAATCATGGTTTGATTGTCTCTCTGTTTTTTCTTCTCACCCTCCCTCACTTTTTTTTTTCCTTCTGCCCCCCGAAGCTTTCTCCCACACTAACTGATGTGGAGTTAAGTTTCAGAGCGGGTCCTGTCAGTTTTAGATAAATACAGTCTTGTGGTAACCTTGACACACTGTGCGGACAGCCCAGTCAGCTCTCCACATCAGCAGCGCAACTCGGCCTGTGTAAATTTGTTTGGAATTGTCAAAACGCTGGGAATTTTATCGTAACAGCGTCCCTGAATGTCACAGGACTCAGAAAGTGTAGAATTCGTTTAAGAACTGTTAACAGGATCCATCTGGCTCTCCTCATGTGGAGCTGTGTGAAGGATCGATTTCCTCCGTCACAGTTTATACAAACGTGCTTCCGTACTGTATACATTTTACTGCCAGGCAGCCTGGATTTTGTGTCCACTGCCTTTTGGACTGATATGAAGAGCTTTTTTTTTGACTCTGTACAAGCACAGACCTAGCACAAGCACAGATCTGTGTTAAGTCTATTTGATTATCAGAATATGTTCTTATTTAAAGTCTCCTTTCAGTAGCTGGGCAATATAAATTTGTAATAGCATGACGTGTGTGCGTATGACTTTTTCGTCCCTCTCTACTTGACTACATA